GCAGATGGGAGAGAGTGAGTCCTGGATGGCTCTAGGGGCCCCAGGTGGCAGGCATGGGACCTAGGTGGGCGGGGTGGCCCCTGCAGCGCAGAACAGCGGGTTGCTTTTTGATTTTTACAGCTTGAGCTTGGGCCCAATCAGGTCTGATCAGGTCCAAGAGTACTTCTCCTGGAGGAAAGGTTATCCCATAGAAAGTTTAGTTGCAGTAGCTCTTATAGTGTCCAAATTTTTAGTGCACACACATTTACAAACATTCTCCTTTACATATTAGATTGTAACATTTGCAAGGTAGGTAAGTCTAATTCATCCCCATTTTACAGATGGGATAAAATTTAGTATGGAACTGTTAAATGACTTGCCCAGTTCCACACAAGAAATCTGTGATGATGATGGAATTACATAGGTTCCCAGTTTAGCCCTTTGCTTTAGCCACAAGACCATCCTTTGGGTGCAGCAAAGGATGTTGGCTCTGTTTTGGTGCTGTTCCTATGAATGGGCTGTCTTTATGGGGGAGTCTTCATTTCCACAAATGACAGATGCTGCTACAAAGGTATCAGCTTCAAGTACTTTACCTTCTGTCCTGGCTTGATGTAAGCCTTCACATGCTTCAGAACAGGCTTCAGGTTATTTTCATATCGGACACACAAGTTTTCAATCTTGATTTCCCCCTCTTGTGGCCAGTCTTTCGGGACTTGAGAAGGGTCTGAAATATTTACAGGGTCTGTAAATGCTACCACTGAGTCACTCTCATTGCACCTTCCCCTTTACCATGCATCTGTTTGTAGTCACATTAGGAATCCTCTCTTTATTCTGTTCCAAAATGGCTAGGCCGGATGGCACCTGCTGAGACTGCAGTCAGCACTGGGTCTGGTGCTGGAGCTGGAATCCTAGTGCAGATGAGAAGACCCCATACTCTGAACCTGCTCCCCAATAGGAGCACCATGTGGGGGAGCCCCCATATCCCAACCCAGCTCCCAACCACAGCAGTGCCAGCTGGGGGGTGAGACAGGCAAGCACCCATGCCCTGGCCACATTTCCCCAGCAGGAGCACTGGTGGGGGAGTGAGGAAGACTGCAGGCAGAAGGGATGGGGAGGAACTTGCACTTGCTCTGTCCCAGGACCCCACAAATCCCTAATCTGCCTCTGTATGTAAATGAGAACAGAATCTGACCCAAGGTCTCTGTGTTTTTTGCATGATCACGAATGGAAGAAATGCAATGTGCTTATTTTTATGGTACCCACAGAAAATAAAAAGGATTTATAGTACAATACCCATAGTGCCTTCGTAGTTTTCAGATTCCATGGTCAGGAAGCTGTTCACTTTTTTCACAGCACCCATCTGCACCTCTAAGTCAGCTAAATTTCTTACAACCCAGTTCAAATAGTTGGTTATCTGCATCACATAACGAGAAGGGGAAGAGACTTCAAACACAAGTTGTCTGGTAATTGTTACACTATTTGGGTATGTCTACACTAGCCTCCTAGTTCAAAGTAGGGAGGCTAATGAGGGCAACTGAAATTGCAAAGGAAGTGCGGGTTTTAAATATCCTGCACTTCATTAGCATGTTCCTGGGCGGTCGCCATTTTGGAAACTGAGTAGCCTGGAATAACTGCCCGCCTCTGTACGCAGCAGTGAAATGGGAGTTTGAAGTAAACCCCTTAACTCGAATTAGCTGTGACTCCTCATGGAATGAGGTTTAACAGCTAATTCGAGTTAAGGGGTTTACTTCGAACTCCTGTTTCACTGCCGTGTGTAGATGCAGGCAGTTATTCCAAGCTAATCAGTTTCCAAAATGGCGACCGCCCGGGAACATGCTAATGAAGCGCGGGATATTTAAATCCCGCGCTTCATTTGCAATTTTGATTGCCCTCATTAGCCTCCCTAGTTCAAAGTAGGGGGCTAGTGTAGATGTACCCTAACAGATAGAGGGAAGTGATTGCCCCCCTCTTTTTGGCGTTGTTGAAGCCACATCTGGAGTACTGGATCCAGTTTTGGGCCCCCCAGTACAGAAAGGATGTGGACAAATTGGAGAGAGTCCAGTGGAGGGCAACAAAAATAATTAGGGGGCTGAGACATATGACCTATGAGCCTCAGAGGCTGAGGAAAGTGGGCTTATTTAGTCTTCAGAAGAGAAGAGTGAGGGGGGATTTGATAGCAGCCTTTAACTACCTGAAGGGGGTTAAAGAGGATGGAGAGAGGCTGTTCTCAGTGGTGGCAGATGACAGAACAAGGAGCAAGGGTCTCAAGTTGCAGTGGGGAAGGTCTAGGTTGGATATTAGGAAAAACTATTTCACTAGGGAGGAGAGTGGTGAAGCACTGGAATGGGTTACGTAGGGAGGTGGTGGAATCTCCATCCTTAGAGATTTTTAAGGTCTGGCTTGACAAAGCCCTGGCTGGGATAATTTAGTTGGGGGTTGGACTAGATGACCTCCCAAGGTCTCTTCCAAGCATAATCTCCTATGAGTCTATGAAATGAGGTGAAATAATGATACCCCAAATGAGAGAGTCCTTTTTTGCTACTCTGCAAAATAACTGTGGCTGCAGTTGTTAGTATTAAAGTTAATTTCAACATATAAATGTGGTGATTAGTGGTCAAAGCTACTATATGATATAAAAGCTATTATTCATCTTGCATGGTCAAATATTTTTCCTCAGAACTGATGATGCTGTTTAGCATATGGCAAAATGATGAATATCAACATCTTGCAATATACTAACATGAAATGTTTTCACATCTCCTATTCTTAATTGTTTAAGTATCTCACAAACCATTGTAATAGTTTTCTTTAGTTTCAGCTGAAATTTGCTGATCAGATCAGTTGCACACTGAAGTTTGTATACCAGTGGAGTCAATTGAATACCCATAGTTTGTACTGCATAGGGGGTTGATATAAATGTGCATGAATTCCTAACATAACAGTTCTCTATTTATAAGCTTTTATCTATATAATGTAGCAACTAGACTTCATGGTAGAAAGTTTTAATTTGTAATTGACTATACATGCCATACTAGATTTTGAAATACTATATTCTTTGAAATATTCTGCATGCCAGATTTTTAATTCCAGAACACTTCAGACAGGTTAGAATTAGTGTTAGTCAACAATATACATTGCACACAATACAATATTATGAGTTTGCAAAAGCTGTGAAAGATTGGTCTAAAAAAATGTAGTATAGACAAAATCCACAAGTCCACATGAACAAGATGACAATAATGATTTCGACTAGAAATGTCACCAGTGCTATCATATTTTGATGAGACCTCTACCAATTTATTATCAGATTTTGTTTTACCTTGTTGTGATGTGTCGCGGTCATAAAGAAATCAAATTTTATGCCTTGAATTAATATACAGAGAAATACAAATATTTCCACGTGGTCATTTTAGCATATTGATAGTGTCATTGCTTATCCTTGTTTCTATGGTAATGACACCATTTGATGGCTCTACATTATACCTTGTTTTAAAGAAGACATAATAAGGTTTCAAGAGATGTATGATGTGTGATTAGGCAGAAGATACAAAATGTACAGGAAAGAAACAAGAGAGGGGAAACAGAAAGCGTGAGCACATGCATGCACCCATGCATGTATGTATCTATGTATGTGCACACACTCATAGATGCACACACATAGATGCACACACATGTGCTCTCTCTCTTGCTTTCTTTCAGAAGTGGAGGCTTCCACAGGGACTGTAGGTAGAAGGCTATATAGGGATAAGGGTGGTTGAAACAAATATAGCAAATAAACAGCATGGAGTGTTCTATAACTAAAAGATCTCTGAGTCATTTGTGGGCTTGAACAACAGCGGAACAAGCCAGCCATGCCACAAAGTTATTTGCTAGTTGATATTTTTTGTATTCACCCCATTTGCCAAAATTTCAGTCATCCAGGCAAGGACGAGAAAACAATACCATATAATTTAGGTGAATTTATCCTTAACCAAAAATGACTAACTCACAGGCTGAGGTTTATAAAATGTCCTTGAAAAGTTAGGGTGCTAAATCCACATTGAGGTGTTTAAATACGTAGCTTGACCTCAGTAGGAGCTGCTGGGTGATAAGTATGGTTGAAAATTAGGCCACTTATTTAGAAGCTTCAATAAATTATAGGAACTGAACTTCAGGTGTTCATTACTATGAAGTAAAATTCATAGACAATCCATAGGCTGTGAAATGAGTCTATGAAGGAAGAAAAGTGGGGAAATACTTTACAAATCATTGCAAACAGAAAAGAGGACTAAAGCCTGAGAAATAAAAAGTTTGTTATGAATAAGTCACCTACTTCCACTTATTGCCACTGAACAAGCACTGTTACAAATAGATGGAGTTTTATAGTAAGCAATTTGCACTGAAATTCTCAATCAAGAGTCTTCAGGAGCATGCACAAATGATAGAATAATTCCTAGGCAGAGCACAAAGGAATTCTCTTGCCATTTAGACACCCAAATCCATGGTCATCTTTCTTGGGTTGGAGGTTTATTACGTTTACAGATAATCCTGCTGCTTGGGGAAAATACAAATTGCAATCTTAACGTTGACAGATTTGATATAAAAGCCTGGCATCCTGAGAGCGCTGCATTTCATTTAAATCTGCATCAGGGTTGTGTAATCCCCAGAAACTTGGATACATTTCACGCGTTGGGAGGACTCTGGGTCTATGATTAAGAGCTATGAAGGGAGCAGCAGAATGAGTGCTTTACTTTCATCCACTTTCCATCACATTTGGACTCCCAAAGAGAAACAACTGAAAACGTCTCAAGTGAAGTAGCCAATGACTGAACCACATCCAAAGTTTTGCAAGTGATACTCTAGGGCATAAAGTGGGAGGTAACAAGTTAGAAATTATTTATGCATTTAAAAAAATATGTCTCAAACTTCAGTTAACCGCTGACTCTAATCTGTTTGCATGGATAATGCAAATACACTCTGTTCCATTTCCCCCCATTTCTTCACAAGCAAGGGATAAAAGATGGACTTGCAGTGTGCACTGAAGGCTAACACATTTTGGTTCGTATGGCCCTGGGAAAGGCCTGAGTTCTACAGGTCCCTTGCTTTCCCACTCTGCTCAAACACATCTGACCACTCCATTCCCAACCCTCCAGACTCCAAACCTGGTTCTGTTTCTCAGCCTCAGTATACATTTTCAGAACTGGACAGGTAATAGTACTCCTCATTTGGTTGATCATCAAAATGTGGAGACATCACACCTCTAATCCTAATTTCACCCTAAATTTTCCAGTAATGATTTTATTTGATCTTCAGTTAAATTCTGCCTTTATGTCACTGAGTTTGCAAGATCTGTTGGATCATTATTTACAATAGGTTTCACAGTACACAGCTTTAACAACATGGTGTAGTGCAAAACAAAGGGCACAGAAGGGTCTAGAATGCACTTTTAATTTTCTTTTTATCCTTGGGAGCACATGAGGCCTGGGAATCTTTTTGTTTTTTTAATTTGCTCACAAAACCTGAAGCAAGGCCAAGTTGTCCTGAACTTGTTTGGCTTTGGCCCACGTCCATTATTTGCAAGATTTTTTCTTTCGAGATGAAGAGAAGTTGGAAGATAACTGTGTATAGATATTTTTAACACCACCAGAAACCTAGTAGATTGGTCTCAAGTTTCTTGATGTTTGTTTTAGAACATACCGTCAGTGCATAGAGGAGACCCAGTCCCAGAAACCCAGAATCGGGCTCGTAGATGATGGAAGTAACAGCGGCAGTAAGAACTATGCAAGCACCCAAATAGTCCTAAAAAGGAGGAAAGGAAGAGAAAGACATCCTATAAAACATGTTGAATTAAAGTCCGGTGCCAAAATAAAACCTTATAATATCATGAAGCATCTTCTATACATCCCTTGTCATTAGCTCAGACACTGAAGTTTTCATAAGGGACCAGCCATTGTTAGTGACCAACTAGAGACACCCTGAAGACACCTGATATTCAGAGGACAAGTGATCACCACTTTTCTGGAAATCAGACTCATTTTAGGTGTCTCAAATTAGATACCAAAAAGCAGGTATCCAAAATGACTAGTGAGTTAACCAATATTCCTCTTTGAAAAATCTTGTCCATCATAAAAATGACACTCATATAAACACTGACACCCCCTTTTGTCCCAACCCCCCAATATACACCATTTTAGCCAGAAATGTTGCTGGTCTCATTTGAAGATGGAAATATTTTACTGTAAAGGGACAGCCTGCTGTTTTGTAGAACTCTAGATATTAGAGATGGATTAAAAAGCTGATTCCTCACATTTTTAAAGAAGCCTCAATTCATCCTGTAAATTTATTATCAAAGTTTTGCAGCTAGAGTCAGGAATTAATATTAAAATGATCAACTGTAGATTTCTAGGTACCAGACGTGATTCTTGGACATAGTCAGGTCAATGATACCTAAATTCTATCATCTGGCGCTGCAATTCTGTCATGAATTTCAGTCAGCATTTTTTTCTTCAGATTTTTCTCCTCTTTTCAGCCAAGAATCTTTCCCTTTACAACTTACAATGAATACTTCTCAGTTAATCTTCTTGTAGGAAATGATAAGTGAAGATGATAGTGGCCTTTAACCCCAATATCCATAGCAAGAAAGTGCAATAGATGTACAATACGCTTGGGTCTCCATCAGATGTTGGAATAGGAGTTGTTCAGTTACTCTGAAACTCTGGCTCTGTGTGATAATACCACTGGACACTGCCAAATTAGCTATTTCTTGGCAAGAATGCATTCTTCCTCATGTATTTTAAGATCCCAAAAAGCTGATAGAAGTGATATGTATTTTTTGGAGAAAACTGATACTCAGCAGGTCCAACGTTAGGAGATTTTAATGCAGTTGCAATAGCTTATAGCAAGGCTAGCTTTTGTCCTTTATCTTTTTTTAGCAGGTACAAATGGGGCATCACGACAGTTCACTGATATGGTACAGAGCTGAATCCTGAGGGTCTTATTCAGTGCTCACTCCTGTCCATGGTGAGAAGTGGTGCAGAGGTGTGTGGCCCCAATGAAGTCCAAGGAAGCAGAATGCCCCATGGAGACCTCAAGGTGCAAGTGCAGTGCACTTGACACCAAATCTTCCTAAGAGTGAAATGTATGCCTCATCCTCTGCCACAGTGGGATAGAACATTGCCTTGTTTATTCCTTGGCCCTTCTTTGGAATGCCTGGTGAGTAGGGAGGGACAACAATTTTGTATGACTCTTATGAATATCATGAGTGTGGAGGGAGGCTCTATATGCCCAGTTTACTGAGAACATATATCAGGGGTGGGGAATCTTTTTTGGGTTGGAGGCTGCTGACTCACAGAAAATGCAGTTGGGGGCCACACATAAGTGAAAAGCAACAACAACAACAACAACAACAAAAAGAATTCGGTACTTGGTATTGCTGCCAAATTCCTAGCTCTTCTTTTTGCAGGTCCCAGTTCTGCCAAATTTACACAAGCTAAGCAGTCCTTTACTCCACAAATAGCCCTGTAGACTTTGAAGGGTATCCTGGCAGAATCAGACTGCAGGTGAGGTCCTCCAGACTGGGCCCATCAATTGGGAAGTTCTTTGGGGTCTCAAGAGATGAAAAGTGGCATGAAAACCAAAAACCAAATTAATACTAAATTTGTAAAATTGCCTTTGAAAACACCCTTTGGAAAACTCCCTTTGGGTATGTCTACACTAGCCCCCTAATTCGAACTAGGGAGGCTAATGTAGGCATTTGAAGTTGCAAATGAAGCCTGGGATTTAAATATCCCGGGCTTCATTTGTATCTTCCCCGGGTGCCGCCATTTTTTAAAGTCCCTTAGTCCGAACTCCGTGCCTGCGGCTACACGCGGCACGGAGTAGGTAGTTCGAATTAGGATCTCTAATTCGAACTACCGTACAAGGAGTAACGGTAGTTCGAATTAGAGATCCTAATTCAAACTACCTACTTTGTGCCGTGTGTAGCCGTGGGCACGGAGTTCGGACTAAGGGACTTTTAAAAATGGCGGCACCCGGGAAGATGCAAATGAAGCCCGGGATATTTAAATCCCAGGCTTCATTTGCAACTTCGAATGCCTACATTAGCCTCCCTAGTTCAAACAGAGGCTAGTGTAGACATACCCTTTGAAAATAGTTTTCACTTGAGCAGGACCTCAGGTGCTGCACAGAAAGTCTTATTTCAAGTTATGTAGATATTTTTTGTTGCACTCTTTTCTGAACAACCAATATTCCCACACCAAAGTATAAAGGAGTCCTGTATTTGTTAACTGCAAGCCAAGCAAGAAAAAAAAATCCCCACAAACCCCCTGGCTGCTATAATATAAACAACCCTGAGTTATTTTAAGGCTCACAGTACACAAAACTCATGGTAAGATTAATTTAATCTACTATCTCCCTCTATGCATCATGCGAAATCTCTGTTTGCTTCCAAGGTTTCAAAATCATAGAGGGGACTAAACTGGACGTACCGTCCTGACCTCCAGCCATCTGTTGGCAGCTGACAGAAACAAGTAGGCAATGTTGTTCGTGTCTGTTAGTTCCAGCATATGTTGTTTAAACCTGGCTTCATGCCTGCAGACAGAAAAGTGAGTACATTATAGCACACACGTGCACAAAAGGTTCAATACTTTTTTAAAAAGCCTGACAGCTTGCTGAACTTACTATGTCTCTTACCAACTTCAAGACAAAATTCTCCCCTCAGAACCACACCTTACACTAGCAGCACCTTGTTCTACAAATGGTAGCAGTGGGTTGGGTTGTGGGTCAGTGTACATGTCTGTGAAAGACAGTAAGGGGGCGGTAAGAACCCCATCCTTGTGCAGGTTAGCCAGACTGGGTGTACAACAGAAGGAGGTATTATTTACCCACAACTACCCACATAATCAAATGGATGGGGAAGGGAATTGGCAGAGCCTTGGCTCCCCTCATCCTCCCAAATTTCTTACCAACTGATATAACTCAGCATTGAATTACTACACCATCGAGCAAGGGCAGAGCAGAGATTTCCCATTTCGACCAAAATCTGATTGAGAAGCCAACTGCTTGGCTACGTCGAGACTGCATTCCTCTGTCGACAGAGGGATGCAAATCAAACATGTCAAAATTGCTAATAAAGCCAGGATTTAAATATCCCGCACCTTATTAGCATAAACATGGCTGCTGCTTTTTTTCGAAATGGAGTTTTTTCGAAAAAAACCCCAGAAGTCTAGATGCATATCTGTTGAAAATAAAGCCTTTTTCGACACATCCTGTATCCCTCAAAAAATGAGGTTTACAGGATCTGTCGAAAAAGGCTTTATTTTTGACAGATCTGCATCTAGACTGCTGGGTTTTTTCGAAAAAACTCCATTAAAAAAAAAGCGGTGGCCATGTTTATGCTAATATGGCACAGGATATTTAAATCCCAGCTTCATTAGCAATTTCGACGTGCCTAATCTACAGCTCTCTATCGACAGAGAGGTGTAGTCTAGACATACCCTTTGATTCCTTCAACACCGCTAGTGCTTTTCATGCATTGGGCAGATTGACCCACCACCCCCTCTTAAACATTTACCTCAGCTATTTCCTCAGACAGCCACAAAATGTCTGAAAACCTGTATCACAAATCATTTCTAAATTACAATAGCAAATTGGTTCTTTCACCTTTTGGTTGGTTTTCCCTCCTTTGTAATCGCAATGATGTTTAGAAACCAATAAAATACTCAATACAACACCAATAGGTTATGTAAGCATCACATCTACTCTTCGGGGGCTCAGCCCCACTTGGTGTAAATTGACCTAGTTCCTTTGAATTAAAGGAATTTAGGGTGATATACTGCAGCTCATCTGTCCCAACCTGGCAGCCAGCCATTTCTTGCTTCCGAAATTACTTATTCAAGTCCCAATCATTATCACTTAAAGAAACAGCCAAAGTTCACGACACACCTCATAAGCTGTTTTACCATTGCAAATACAGGCAGTCCCCAGGTTACATGGATCCTACTTACATCGGATCCCTACTTACAAACGGGGTGAGGCAACCCCGCATTAGCTGCTTCCCCCCAGCAGACCAGGGAGATGCGAAGCTAGCGCTCCTCCCCAGCAGACCAGGGAGACGCGGAGCGGCTTTTCTCAGCAGACACCTCGGGTTGAGAATAAAGGACTGGGGGAAGTGAGGTGTGGGAGAATAAAACTGAGCTCTGGAGAAATGTTTGGCTAGAGTTTCCCCTACAATATGTACCAGTTCCGACTTACATACAAATTCAACTTAAGAACAAACCTACAGTCCCTATCTTGTACGTAACCCGGGGACTGCTTGTACTCCTGTTTCAAAATAATTGGTATTTAAAAGTTCAGGACCTTGTGGTGAGAAGACCATAACATTGATGACTGGAGACCATCCTCACTGTTTCCCAGTTGACCCAGTTTTTTTCTTGGTAGTATTTCACATGTTTTATAAATGTGATAGGCAAAGAACTTTCTGTCATAGCAGTAAGCAGGAAGGGTGAAAATACAGTAATTATTTTTTTAATGTCTATTTGGCAATAACTTCACCCTGTTTTCCTAATGGAAACTCTGATACACTCAATCTGCATCTTTTCATCCAAACCAAGCTCATCTTCTGAACATTCCTAGACTTTTTATGACGAGCAGAATGACGTCAGAAAAGGTCACTGAGATCTCAATCTAATTTAAGTGCAGTGCTTTGTGGTAAGCTACTTGAGGGGCTTCATTATTTCATCCAGCTACATAATGAACTCCGAATGCAAGGGGTGACAAACAGGTTTATAAGAAAACATTAGCATGCTGAGAAAGCCCTAAGATTCTGGAGAAAGAAGGCTGGCTTGACAGGTGAATGAAATGGAAGGTTTTGATTATCAACAATGGCTGTGAAAAATTAAAGCAACTAGGTGTGATCCTTCCAACTTGATGCTTCCAGCTTTTCAGGGGGCTACCCTTTGCCCTCTGCCATACCCAGTCCATTTTGATTTTCTAAAATAAAAGGACTGACCCTGTGAGGTGTTCGACTCCATCTAAAAGGCACTATGCATGTGCCTTCCATTGACAACATTGTGAACTGAGGGTAGTCAGAAATGCTCAGGAGGCACTCAGCACCCTGCACGGCTAGGCCCAGATTTTGACCTGCAGTGTTATCAGGCCTCACAGATGGATAAAACTGAGAACTGCATTTTGAATGTAGGGCTTTGGTCACACTCTCTTCTGCCAAAGCAACAGGTCTGTTGCCCGTCCTGTGGCAACCCTCCTCATTCTTCTCTCAGGACACTGAATTAATACCATGGGAGCAAGACCTTCACTAAGGGCTCGTCTACACTGGCCCCTTTTCCGGAAGGGGCATGTAAATTTCACCTATCGTAGTAGGGAAATCCGCGGGGGATTTAAATATCCCCCGCGGCATTTAAATAAAAATGTCCGCCCCATTTAGTAATCCTGTATCTTGAGAAACCACTAGATATTCCAATGTATGCATGTCAGGTTTTATGATTTTAGTTAAGGAAAAACCTAAAAAAAATATTTTGGATTATAAGACTTAGCCAGCATTGCCTAGGTCCTTCAGGGCAGGGTGCACGTTGTGTGGGGGTGAAGGAGTCAGGGCAGGGCCTTGGAGATGGGCTATAGGACAGGAGATTAGGAAAATGGGGGCGTGAGAATGAGAGTTGGGGTATGTCTACACTACCCCGCTAGTTCGAACTAGCGGGGTAGTGTAGACATACCCTAAGTGATGGAACGGAGCCAGGCAATACCTCCATTTATTGTGGTGGTTACAGGATCACTGTTCTCTCACTAGCCATGTGTTGCTTGCTTGTTTGTTTGCAGTGTGCCTATTCGCTTGAAGTTTATAGTGTGGTTTATTTGGGAGCTAGGTAAGGAGGCTCTTGCCCATCATCCTTTGATCTCTAATTCTTTTTGGTTCTATTGATGAGTGGGCAGGGTTAATTCAAGGGAAATGTAACTGCTCAGTGTGGAGCAGCAGTCAAAAAGGCTAACAGATCATTAGGAAGCATTAACGAAGCGACTGATAATTAGAAAATGTCAAAAAGACAGTACAGGCAGTCCCCGGGTTACGTACAAGATAGGGACTGTAGGTTTGTTCTTAAGTTGAATTTGTATGTAAGTCGGAACTGGTACATATGGTAGGGAAAACTCTAGCCAAACATTTCTCCAGAGCTCAGTTTTATTCTCCCACACCTCACTTCCCTCAGTCCTTTATTCTCAAGCTGAGGTGTCTGCTGAGAAAAGCCGCTCCGCGTCTCCCTGGTCTGCTGGGGGGAGGGGCGCTAGCTTTGTTTCTTCCTGGTCTGCTGGGGGGAAGCAGCTAATGCGGGGTTGCCTCACCCCATTTGTAAGTAGGGATCCGATGTAAGTTGGATCCATGTAACCCAGGGACTGCCTGTATATAAATACATGGTACATCCACATAATGAAAACTGGCTGCAGCCAGGATGGGTCGTGTGACAGGCAGCTTGCTCTGGTGCTGCAGTGTGGCCTAGCTCCAACTCTGGCACACAGCCAAGGCAGGCCATGTTATGGCTGCCCGGCTGCTCCCGGGGCAGGCCACGTGGCAGATGGCTTTCTCCGTATGCTGGAGCTGGGGCTGGTGCAGCTGTTCCTGCAGCAGCCTGGCCAACAAGGCTCCAATTGGGCAGCATCTTGTTCTGGTTATCCCATCTCAAAAAAAAGATACATTAGAACTACAAAAAAAAATGCAGAAAAGGTCAAGAAAAATGATTAGGAGTATGGAATGCTTTCACACGAGGAGATGTTTAAAAGATTGGGACTGTTCAGCTTGGAAAGGAGGCTGAGGAGAGAAATAATAGATGCAGGTAAAAGAATAAATGATGTGAAGAAAATGAATATGGAAGTGTTATTTATTCTCTCACATAACACACTAATCGCAGGGCGGGGAGGTCACCCAATGGAATTGATAGACAGCAGTTGTAAAACAAACGAATGGAAATACTTCACATTGGCTACGTCTAGACTGGCATGATTTTCCGGAAATGCTTTTAACGGAAAAGTTTTCCGTTAAAAGCATTTTCGGAACAGAGCGTCTAGATTGGCACGGACGCTTTTCCGCAAAAGCACTTTTTGCGGAAAAGCATCCATGGCCAATCTAGACGCGCTTTTGCGCAAAAAAAGCCCCGATCGCCATTTTCGTGATCGGGGCTTTTTTGCAGAAAACAAATCTCAGCTGTCTACACTGGCCCTTTTGCGCAAAAGTTTTGCGCAAAAGGGACTTTTTCCCGAATGGGAGCAGCATAGTATTTCTGCAAAAAGCACTGATTTCTTACAGTAGGAAGTCAGTGCTTTTGCGGAAATTCAAGCAGCCAGTGTAGACAGCTGGCAAGTTTTTCTGGAAAAGCGGCTGATTTTCCGGAAAAACTGGCCAGTCTAGACACAACCATAGTGCATAGCCAACCAATGGAACACATTGCCAGGGGATACTGTGAAGTATACCTGGGTTTGAAAAAGAATTATTGGTAGATACATTCATAGAATCTGCTAGTGGCTATTAGGCTATGTCTACATTAAATAGCTTACAGCAGCACAGCTGTGCCACTAAATTCTTGCCACTGTAAGGCACATAGTATAGCTGCTCTTTGTCAATAGGACATTTCTCTCCTGCTGGCAAAATAAAACTACCCACAATGAAGAGTGGGAGTTTTGTCAATGGGAGAACATCTCCCATTGACAAAGTGCACACCGTTACATTTCATCGGTAAAATTTTTGTTGATTGGGGGCAAGGGTCACACTCCTTCAGCAACAAAAGTTTTATTGGTGAAAGTCCAGTGTAGGTATAGTCTTAGCCAAGATGATCAGGGACACAGTCCCATGCTCTGGCTGTCCCTACACTTCTGACAGCTGGAAGTTGCAACTGGAGGATGGGGTGGATCACTCCACAAATTACCCTGTTCGATTCACACTCTCTGAGACATTTGGCAATGATTATTGTCAGAAGACAGGAGAGAGGGCTAGCTGGACCATTGTTCTGATCCAGTATGGCCATTCTTATGTTCACCTAGGGTACGTATAAACTACATGCCTCTGTCGGCAGAGGCATGTAGATTTGTTTGTTCAGCAAAGGTAAATGAAGCCGCGATTTAAATGATCGCGGCTTCATTTACATTTACATGGCTGCCGCGCTGAGCCGACAAACAGCTGATCAGCTGTTTGTCGGCTCAGCGCGGCAGCCATGTAAATGTAAATGAAGCCGCGATCATTTAAATCGCGGCTTCATTTGCCTTTGCTGATCTGTCTAATCTACATGCCTCTGCCGACAGAGGCATGTAGTCTAGACACAGCCCTAATGTGGCAATCAGGGTATTTTGAAACCCGCTTACCCAAGTCAGCCTTTTAGAAGGAGCACTCCTTCGCTTATTACTTTATCTGGTGGAAACAGATATACTGGACTAAATTCTGCCTAAAGTATCTCAACTTTAATGGAAGTATCTGGGCCAAATTTAGCAGTGATGGATAAGACGATCTAAGTCAGTGGCTCTCCACATTTCCAGACTGCTGTACCCTTTCAGGACTCTGGCTTGTTTTGTATACTCCAGGTTTCACCACACTTAAAAACTACTTGCTTACCCAATCAGACCTAAAACTACAAAAGTGTCACAATACACTATTACTGAAAAATTGGTAATTTTCTCCTTTTTGCATATAATTATAACATAAATAAATTGGAATATAAATATTGTACTTATGTTTTAGCATATAGTATTTAGAGCAGTATAAACATGTCATTGTTTGTATGAAATTTTAATGTGTATCAATGTCACTAGTGTATTTTATGTACTTTGTTGTAAAAGTAGGCCAATATCTAGCTGAGTTGATGTACCTGGGGAAGATCTCTGCATATCATCCAGGTGTATGTGCACCCCTTGTTGAGAACCACCGATCTAGATTACATATTGGGTCTAATTTGGTCAAAAGGCATGTGTAAGTGGCAACATAGTGCAACTGGCACTGACTGGGAATTCTATGGGCATGCAAAAATAGTACAATTTACATTAATTTGGTATTTGGTGATAATCAAGTTGGAATTTTGATAGGGTCGCTCTGGATGTATGCAAAGGACATTTGAGTATAGAATTTAGCCAGCATGTTTAATGGAGATTGGAAAACAATTATATGCCTTGGAAAGTCTGAAGAGTCCTCTTGGAATGAGATTACATAGTCTCTCATATTCTGTGCCGCTTGTGTGTACAGTATTACATTTATCTACTTTAAAAAGAAAAAAGATCACATTTCAAACAAAATGATGACATTTTTTCTATTTTTCATTGGTAAGACCAGTGGCAGTGTCGGTCAATGTCTTGTGCGTGGGAACGACTGCTAACATCATTCAGCTCCTCAAAGTGGCTGCATGTTTTATGATTCTGTGGTTTACTCTCATATGGTAATTTAATAATCTCTGTTTCGTTATCCAGTCCAGCTGTGACCTTTTCTGCTTTCACTCATGTTCTTGATCCCCTAGTGGCCCATTTTTTCTTTTATTTAGCATCTGACTTTTTTTCTCTTGAGATATGACTTATTCCTGGAGCACTTTTGAAATAAATCCAACTGCAGAAACAGTGCGCTGAGACATAGCTATCATAAATGTAAGACATACTGCCAGTAAGGTTTACAAACCCATAAAATATCAGAGAGCCAGGCTTGGGCTTAGAAGATCTGACGTCAGTCCACTGCACTGCTACATACTTCATTACAAAACATCTTGTTACTACAGTCCCCATCTATAAAATGAGTATCATACAGGCTGAAAATTCAATACTCTGTCGTCTGGCAGCATCCATGGTCTAGCAGGACTTTGTATGTTGCTGGACCAGAGAGCCTAGCTGCGAGTGGGGGTGACCAGGGTTAGAAGCGCAAGCCACAGCTTGTCGCAATGGGGCCAGAGGCTGGGAGCGCAGCCTTGCTCGAGACTGGCGGCAGTGGGGCTGGCAGCAGTGGGGCTGGTGGAGGGGAGTGCAGCCCCAGCCAGGGCCAGCAGTGGAGCCCAGTGGCTGGGGCTGGTGCTCTGGAGTGGGGCTGATGGCTGCGAGGGATCTCCGGAAATATCCCTGGTTTGGAACCACTTAGGTCTCAAGGGTTCCGGACCAAGAAGGTCCACCCTGTAATACTTCCCTACCTTGCAGGAGTCTTTAACACATTAAAGAGTGTGAAGTGCTCAGTTAATGGGAGTCACATAAATACTTAAGGCTTGTCTACACAGGGACACTCAGTAAAATTCATCCAAATTAATTTTCAACATTATTAGTTTAATTCAATTTCAAACTGAATTAGGCTGAATCAAATTAAGACCACTTTAATTCTGAGTAAGAGTGTCCACACAAGGTTTTAATTAAGTTTAACTAATCCTCTCTAAATCCACATCTTTCATTAATTCATATTAATTTTCCTGGGTGTCCCTGCGTAAAGAAGCCTGCTTTATTTGCAAGACTTATGCACCACTCTGAGGGAGTAGACAACAAACAGGAAGTACATGTTTACAAACCTAAATGCTCTGATGGTAGTGAGGCCTTCAGCTGTTTCTGAGAAGTGACAGAGTAAAGGTAGTTGGGTGCTGTCATCAAGCTCCTGCAGATCCCTGTGATCGAGAGAAACAAAACAAGAGGTGTGTGAGAGCTAGAATGGGTCAGGATCAGTGCTCCTTGTAAGCTGTGCACTTGTGTGGCCATTCAGGAGAAATTCAAATGCCACACAACTGATTATAATCAGCAGCATACCCAAAGCTAAGTTTTTTGTTTCTGTTGGTGGTGCACATTCGCATATGCTTCAGCGCACATAAAATTTTATTCCTCACATAGATGGAAAAAATCTACACATGAATGGAAAAGATTAGAGGGAACATTGCTTAGGCCCAAGAAGCAAATGAAATGCAAGTATTTTTTATGGATATGTTAGTGTAGGTTTTTTTTTATTGTGCACATTTTTATCAGGATATACAACACTATATTTATACTAAAGGGCTGCCACAAAAATCTCACACCTGTTCATTAGAATTTTGGGGGAAATCCTGGATTTAAACTATCATCATTCTAGTTTGAGGTCAAATCCAAAATTTCCACTCCAATTTCGCTTCCGTGAAAATTTCACAGAAATGGCTAGTGTCATTATAGCTCCATCATTCAAGATGGTAGAAATCTTGGTGATTCATGAAATTCTCATGAGAGAAGTTTGTGAGATTATGATGCCATAGAATTCAAACTCATAGTCTTGTTTTAAGTCTGATTAATCATTGAACCTGAATCTTGAAGCCTCTCCTAAAATTAAGTCAGATGCATATGCTTCTGATAAATTACTCTGGGCTATTCATCTGTAAGAATCCACACCCACTAGCCAATAATTCTTCAGAAATGCCGTATTATGTTTGGTATTACTGCTATCTATTGAACATGAAAAACAATGCAGGATATAGATTTGTTTATTCTAGCACTGATTTGAATTGACACATATAGGGCATTTCTATAACATTAAAGCCCTCATCATTAATTGTTCAGCTTTCCTCAATCAATCATTAAGTTATAATCCACTCAGCTAATCCATTTTATGATATAGGCCTATAAATCCAAACTCTTGCAACAAGAATGTTTGCTCAGATATAGGGGCAGTATGCTCCAGTATGACCAATTTATGATGGAAAATATAATGTAAATGTTGGGAGGACGTAGTGGAAAACATTATAAGGGGTGAATGTGTTACAGGAAATGCTGTAAATATTTGTGTTTCTAAAAGTTAATTGAGGTTATGTGCCTGGATAGTGTGAATGTACACTCAAGCTATTCCCTCATGGGTTCACATAAATGACTTTTACAGATACAATTGTATTCCTCCAGCCTAGTTTCTATCATTCAGTGCAAGAAAATAGATCTTATAACTAGGGATTAAATGGAGTTCAAAGTATATAATAAAAAATGTCTCTTGCTCACCGAAAGTTTGAAGAGTGTATATGAAAAAGAATGTATAGTTACTTGAACAACAACCATCTCAGGGCCAACCCACAACATGTTGGCTCCTGAGGTGGGGAGCTCAAATGATGCCCCCATGCCCCCTTGCTTGGGCCAAAATTTTGAAAGGTCTCAATTCTTCTTTCTTCCTGTTCTACTTCTCTCATGGTACTGCTTTGCTACCTACCCCAATAAAGGAGAACTAACAACTTAAAATGCCTTGTTCAACAGCAGACACAATCTTCTACACTCTGGGTCCTAGTGGTGCCCCCCCACAGTCTGGCACCTGAGGCAGCCGCCTTAGTTCGCCTCATGGTAAGGCCAGCCCTGAACCAACTGCACCTTCAATGTAACATCTCACCAGCTTGTCCACAACCCAGTAGTGCATGCAGGAAAATTGGATGCACTCAGTATTGGAAATCTGGACCAGAATATGTGTTGCTCTCCTATAGAAAACTTTGAGAGAGCTTTGAAATGGATATGTACCATATATGCAGATACCACTTAATCCATTGCTTTATTTTTGGGGTAGGAATGGCAGAGTCATATCTTTCTATGATATGATGTAATATACTAATTTGATACCCCCATTACCACCAATTTTCTTGTGCTTCTCAGCTAAGAATTCCATTTGAATTTATTGGAATCTTTAAAGAGGCTGGGGAAGTAGTACTCTCTCGGTAACTAAGGTTGCTATTAAGTTCCATGATAAATTATTATGGACACGGTACAAACACACAGGCTGTGTCTAGACTGGCTAGATTTTCCGGAAAATCAGCCACTTTTCCGAAAAACTTGCCAGCTGTCTACACTGGCCGCTTGAATTTCCGCAAAAGCACTGACGATCTCATGTAAGATTGTCAGTGTTCTTGCAGAAATACTATGCTGCTCCTGTTCTGGCAAAAGTCCTTTTGCGCAAAAGGGCCAGTGTAGACAGCTCAGATTTGTTTTCCGCAAAAAAGCCCCAATCGCCATTTTCGCGATCGGGGTTTTTTTGTGGAAAAGCACGTCTAGATTGTCACGGACGCTTTTCCACAAAAAGTGCTTTTGGGGAAAAGCGTCCTGCCAATCTAGACTCTCTGTTCTGAAAATGCTTTTAACAGAAAACTTTTCCGTTAAAAGCATTTCCGGAAAATCCTGCCAGTCTAGATGTATCCATAGCCACAGTGAGTGACAGCTCTGGCCCTGAAGAGTTTAATTAAAATAAGACGGACAAAGGAGAAAATGAACACAGAGCGATCAAGAGACTACTTCACACTCATACAATAAGTCAATGGCAGAGTTAGAAATGGAAGCCAAGTCTCCAGTGGCCCAGTCAAGAGCTCTACCTATTAGATCACACTATCTTCACAAGACCTATTTTACTGCCCTTTGCAACTTTGCTTTGGAAAACTGGTAGGGGAAGGAGAACATTGCTGCAGCATGGAATGGAAATTTATCAAACTGCTTTTGAATAATAAATTTACCCTGATTCAAATTTTTGCTATCAACATTTTCATATTGATAATTCTCCTAGAAAACTCATGTGCTGATGAAAGTGGAAGAAAATATAATTAATACAAGTTATTATCTGTTTTTGTTATGGATAACTTTGAGGCAAATACTGATCCTCTGATTTTAGTGGGAGCTATTGACTCTAAATTATGTTAATAAAAGAGTTTTGCCACTGAAAGAGGTTGTTCCAGCTCTCAATATGAAATGTCTGTGTTTACCAACAAAACAGTTACAATATGCACAGCAGCAGTTCAAACTTTCCCCATACTGCCCCACTAAAGTTCATAAACCTTGACCTGAACTGAAAACATTTCACAATTGATTACCAATCTCCTGAGCAATTCAGTTCTCCAAGCAAGAGTAATTTTAGAAAATTCTGATCCCCTCAAAAAGCCTAATCTTTACAGACAGTCAACATTTTTGAAATGTAGGAATTGTTGCTGAAAAGTAGACAAGGTTTTCTCTGGTCGGTTTTTCCATTTTTCAATCATCTCTGTCACAAGTTGAAAAATGTTGAACACTTCAGTGAAAAACAGAAGAATGTGCCTGTGGAATTTACCAAGAAAATTATTTTCCATTCTTGACTAGCTCTCGTTTATATTTTAGCACAAACCATAAATACTTACTTGGAAGCCACTCTGAAGTATTTCTGGATGAAGTAAAAAGCTACCCCAAGGGGTACAAGAGTAACAAGGAACCACGGAGTGGCGTATGAAATCATTCCAATAGCAGACAGGCAGAGCAGAGTGGACCGGGTAAGAGACTCCAGAGTAGGGGGAATGTGCTATTCCAAACATAAGATAAAAATATGTATTAGACAGACCTCAGCAATATGGCAATGATATACCCTCCATGTGTGAGGCGAAGAGATGGGCTGGTCTACGGCCTTTCTGCTGTCCCTTCACCACTGGGAGCCCTCTTTATGCCAAGGGAATTCTCAAGGGTTTTTCTGTTTCTGTGAGCCCAGAGCCAGTGAACAGGGGTATCAATGGCCAGAATTAGGACCACTGGGGATTTGCTAATGCTCAATACCTCCCAGGATCATGGAGAAACAGGCAGTCACTTCCCCTCATTATGAAACAAGTAAGGGAATTGTTCTTCTGAGACATCTTAGATAATTTAATAATACTTTTGATTTCCCCTATTGCCCCATATATGGTATCCTTTTCTGAGAACCCTGCAATCACTCTTCTTCGTACATATGCCCCTTGATAAACCATTCAGAAACATTTATTATCCAAGCAGCTTAGTTCTCAGACGTAGTGGAAGCGCTGCAAACAACTCTTCTTTCGAAATGTGTTCTTACTTCACTATTACACACTTTAATCTTATATAGATTCATAAAGTTTAAGGCCAGAAGGGGCCAATAGATTACCTAGTCTGACCTTCTGCATATCACAGGCCATTAAATGTTACCCCTGTTTTGAGTCCACTGATCTGAGTATGACTAAAGCATAACTTCCAGGAGGCATTCAGTCATGATTTGAAACACCAAGGCTATGTCTATACTGCTCTGTTTTGTGAAAGAAATATGCCCCTGTCTCTTGGGCTATGTGTACACTGCACTGTTTTGTGTAAGAAATATGCAAATGAGTCAAAGCATGGACTATCACCATGCCTCATTTGCATAATTAATGAGCGGCTGCTTTTTGCACAAGAGGCTTTTGTACAAAAGCCCCCTCTTGCGCAAGAGCTGTTCTTCCAAAAAATTTTAAGAAAGAACAACTCTTTTCCATGTAGACGGCTCCTTTTCACGCAAAAGCCTCTTGCACAAAAAGCGGCTGCTCATTAATTATGCAAATGAGGCACGGCAATATTCCACGCTTCACCTCATTTGCATATTTCTTACGCAAAACGGTACAGTGTACACGTAGCCCAAGAGACAGGGGGGAGAACAATTTGGATAGTGAGGGTGCTGAGAGTCATTGGACCAAACTATAAACCCTGTGCATGATGGAAACCACTTCAAGCCAGCTCTATTTCCAGCTTCTGTACCAAAAGATAGAGAATCCCCCTCTTTCCTTGTTAGATTATTCCAGCAGTTGTTAACTTTTCCTGTTAAACTATTGTGCCTAATCTCTCCTTTGAATTTGTTTGGTTTCAGCTTCCAGCTATTGGTTTGTTTGCTTCCCTTCTCTGCTAGTAGTACAGCATTGCTCACCACTGCCATACACAGACCCGCCCCCCCCCCTCCCCCACACTTCTTCCTATTAATTTCTCCCTGATTTACGCATCCAAAAATCACAGTAGCCGTTTTAGCCACAGAATCACATTGGCAGGGGATGTTGAATTGCTTCTCCACTAAGCCCCCTATGTCCTTTCCAGAATCATTGCTTTCCAGGATATAGTTGTCCCATTTTATAGGGATGGCTAGCATTTCTTGTTCCTAAATATACAATGTTGCAGTTGCTGTATTAAAAAAGCATTTTGTTTGAATGGGCTGGGTTTACCCTGTGATGAGGATCCCTGTGTGGACTGCCCTGTTCTCATTACATACCACTCTGCCAGTCTTTGTGTAATATGCAAATTTGATCCGCAGCTATTTTATAATTACTTCTGTATCATTGAGGACAACGTTCAGAGGTGTTAGGTCCAGTGCTAATCTCAGCAGAATCACACCCCAACCAGCCCCATTAAGTGATGATTCCCTATAGCAGGGGTGCTGGAACAATTTGTATACTGGGAGCTCTGAGAGCCATTAAAGCAAACCATAACCCTGAATATGACAGAAACCTCTAAAAGCCAGGGGCTGCAACAGCTTCCCACCTAGGCCTCCTGGAAGTTATGCTTCCATCGCCTGTGCTCCAATGACAACTACTTTTTGAGTTATCAGTTAACCACTTCTTCCTCCATTTAATGGGAATTTTATGGATATTGTATAGAGCTAATTTTTAAGCAGAATGTCATGCTGTACTCTGTTAAATGCCTTACAAAAGTCTATTGTAGATATGCTGTTACTTTTATAAACCAAGCTTCTAATCACATGAAAGAGTGAAATCAGGTAGCCAAGACCAATTTTCCATCAATCCTTATTAAGTGGGATTAATTATATCCCTGTCTCTCAATTCTTTATCACTTGAATCCAAGGCTTAAATTCAGAGGGAGCCCACTAGAGTGGAGCATTTTCAAATTTGTGGGATCCCCAGCGCCTGCCACAGGGTAGAAGTTCCAACCCCTGTTACTTCCCTCCCCCCATGAAGGGCTAAAACCCTTAGATATCCTGCAGCTGAAATTCGTAGCCCTGACTTTTTGGGGGGGGAGGGGGGGAGGCAGCACTGGGAAATAATCTATGAGAATTTAAGCTCTGCTTGAATCTCCTATCAGTTTTGCCATTGTTTTGTACAAACATTAATATCAGGCTATCCAACCTATAATTACCCAAGTTGTGCTGCTAGCCCTTTTTGAATATTAGCAGAAAATTAACAATATTCCACTTTTCTGGATTTTGACATTCCAAAATTTATTGAAATTGACACAATCAGCTTAAAAAGATCTTCAGCCAGGTCTTTGAAGACTCTTGGATGCAAGTCATTTGGGGCTGCAACTTTAAAAATATTTGTGCCTAGTAGAATTTATGCCTAGTAGTGACCTGGAAAGTAGTTCACCATCCTCATGTGACATAAATCCAACTTTCTAAATACAGAACAGAAGTACTGACTGAACACATCTCCTGTTTCTATGTCATTATTAACAATCTTATCAGCTGCAACATTATTTCTAGAATTTCTTTTCTTCCTAATTTACTTAAATACTTAACATGTGACCCTGTAATTCTAAAGAACCAGGGGAGTTATACCATTGCTTTATCTTGTATCCCTGAATATATTTGAATCTTGGTGAGCTCAACAATAATAATTTCCATAAAATGTGCTTTGCCTGGAAAATCTTTTACAGTTCAGAGTTTATCAGAACATCTGTTCTGGATGCACGTAACCAGCTATTTGGCTCCCTGGTAACTCAAGGTGCACTTCTTCTCCAAACTGGTAGCATTAATTGGGCAAGACATTTTGGAATAAATGGACCTTTGTGCTCACCTGATCAATAATATTTGTATCAGCAGAGAAGCGATTTAGAATTAACCCCAGAGGAGTTGTGTCAAAGAATCTATTGAACAAAACAGAAGCAAAAATTATGTGAAGAGAGAACTTGATGCTGGATGAAAGATTGTAAGCCAGAACTTAGGGTTACTGTCTAACTAGTCCCCTAGAATCAGTTGGTAAACACAGAATCTATGCTAGCCTTATACCTACATTTGGAATGCCATCTAAAGCCTTTTTTAACCCCACACTTTAAAATCCTCTCTCCCACAACCCCCTGAAAATGTTCAGCTCCTTTCTCTCAATTACTCTATCCATTCTCTGGTTCCCTCAACTTGAAAGATCCAAGCAAAGTCCACCCTTGCTGTCCTGGGTTAAGATTTCAACTCCTGGGCTGGAAAGATCACCATGTTACCAGCTCCTCTTTTATGAGGGAACCACAGTTACTGCATGTATGCAATCACACCCTTGGCTATGCCAAGCTCATGCCGAACCTGTTTCTTTGGCATATAAGGAATGTAACATCCCGCACAACGCCATCTCTGTGCATTGGAACTGATGAATTTCCACAATACTTGGAAATTTCTATGGCCCCAAAACCCCTAGATGAATTTCAGAGTGTCTGAAAACGTTGTAACTTGAAATTACTTTCAGGTGAAAGTAGGCAGAAACTAAAATTGCTTGTTTTCCAGCATGAAGAGGGTAATTTCCTAAGCATTACAGCTGGAACTTTTAGATTTCTCAGGAGATGAGGGCAACAGGGGAATGATCCATGCTCTTTTCAGTACTAGCCACTGCGTTGCACAGCGGGTACCTGATTGGTCCTAGGATGATCTTATTGAGGAGATTGTGATGAAGGTTCTTGGCTGCTGTAAGGCCCATCCATTCCACAGTCAGGGACGTGATGAGGCAAAGGATGATTCCTGCTCCACAAAGCACACTGAACACAGCTACGTGATAAGACTAATAAAAGGACAAATATGTTAACCTTGGAAATCCCCACAGCTGACAGCACTGACCAGCCAGTGGGTCAGAATCCAAAAGGTTCAACAATAACAGGACATGTACTGCCCATTTCAGTGAATGTGATCTTCTTCGTAACATTAAAAAAGGAGTTTTCACCCTATGGCCCCAATCCTGCAATTCACTATATTTTTGTGCAGCAGATTTTTAGACTGGGGATTAATTTGGGGACCTAATTTGTCTCAGGAGGATGCTTAATGAATTAGCTTCACTGCTGCAACTAAAGGTGAGTATACTACAAGGTCCTAGGTGACAAATAATGATCCTAGAGCTCCATTCCAAGTATCCTATTATATTTATATTATAAAGATTTCTCTGTATTTTATGGTGTTTTTTTTAATTATCATGGATGATTGGTTGTCAATACCTCCATATCCATGGCTATATTTTTACCTGTCCTTTTATTTATGAAAGTTTAAACTTATTAAATAAATACTTAAGAATTTGGATTATTATTATATCAATTACATATATATTTTTACTGGCTCTGACTGTGGACTGGCCACAAAGAGTAACCAGGAAAGGGCAAGGTAGTCACACCTGTACAATGAGAATACTCTGCACTTTGCAGGATTTGGCCCAAGTCTTGTGAATTTAGACAGCTGTCGAAATTTGGATAAATGTATAGATCCCCAAAACTCAGACTGCAGTAGAACAGAATTTTTCAGCAATTGAGCTTAGATAACTTCAGAAAGAAAAAACAATGCTAATTTTCTAACACCACTGCAGGTTAGGGGGCATCTCCTCACCTGGTGTAAAGGAGCTATAGACCCGCTAAGAATCTGTCCTGGGATTCTGGCTGGATATGAGAGGTCCTGGAAATCTCATGAGAAAACTGTTACTAAGTTATCAAAAGCATCTGAACTTTGAGATACTTCTCCAATCCAAACCATTGCCCGATCCAATTTCAATAGCAGCTACTGGGTGATCAGCACTTTTGAAAATCTGGGCATTAATTTGTGTGGCTAAATATGGATTTAGGGCATATAACAGTGGTTCCCAACCTTTTTTGTACCAGGGACTGGCAAACCCATTCACAAACTTTTGGCAGAACGGTCACATTTTATTTGAGTATTTGCATATTCATTCATTTGCATATTTATGCAGTATTCATTATTTGCATATTCATGACTATGCATTGCTGGCTCATTCAGTGAAGGATGCACAGAAGCTTTTGGATCGCTTTGTTACTTCCGCTCACCATTTTGGACTCACAGGGAGCCTCAAGAAGACAGAAGTGATGCCTCAGCTTGTCTGGAAAGAGCCCAGCGCTCCAATGATCACCGCTTCTGGTACAGTCTTTAAGGCTGTTGACAAGTTCTGCTACCTGGGAAGTGCACTGTCCTCTAGCATAAACGTGGATCATGATGTATCTGCTCAACTAACCAAAGCAAGCGCTGCCTTTGGAAAATTGACCATGGTATTAAACTCCATACCAAGATAGCGGTTTATCAGGCAGTTGTCCTGAATGTCCTGCTATACAGCTTGGAGTCATGGACAATATACTGTCACCATGTTTTGAAGCTTGATCAGTTCCATATGTGTTGTCTGAGGAAGATTGCCCACATGAATTGGTGGGACAAAATTCCTAATACAGAGGTTCTTAAGCTGTGTTTTGTCATGGGCATGGAAGCAATACGTATGAACAAACAGTTTAATAGGATTGGTCATGTTATGGGGATGGATGATACATGGCTACCAAAGATGGTCTTCAATGGCCAGCTTGCTCATGGAAAGCGCTCTCTTGGTGGTCACTATAAGCACTATAAAGACATCTTAAAGGCCAATATGAAGTGATGCGGCATATCTCCCAATGATCTGGAAACTCTGGTTCAGGACAGATTGTCTTGGTGCCAAACCATCATACAGGCTCTTGATTGCTTTAAAAGGCAGCGTATCCAGGCATTGCAAGAAAAGAATATACAGTGCCTGCAGTTGGCGGCTTTTTATGTGACATCTGTAATCAGATCTGTTAATCAAGGATTGGTTTAGTTGCTCACCAACAGCGTCATAGAAGATGAGATCCGTCGATTGACGGCTCAGTCCAAGAATAATAATAATATGCAAATATGCAAATAAAATTTTACGGGTCTGACAAAAGCCCAGAATCCCTCAGTGCCAGCCCTAACCCTAAAGACACCACCCTCCACTACCCCCCACTGCCAACCACTGTCCCCAGAGACCCCTACACCCAACCCCTTCAGTGCCAGCCACCTGCCCTCAGAGTCTCCAGTATCAGTCCCCCATCCCAAATGCCTCAGTGCCAGCCCCTCACCCATTAAAGCTCCCCACCATCAGACCCCCCAGTGCCAGCCTCCCGTTTCCAGAACCCCAATGCATCCAACCCTCATAGAGTCCCCCCGAGTGCCAGACCGTAGGCCCCAATATTAGCCCTGTCCCCAGAGCCCCTCAGTGCCAGCTCTGCTTCTATAGCTCCCCCACCATTAGCCCCTCACCCAGAGCCCCCCGGTACCAGCTCCCTACCCTAGATGCCCCAGTTCCCCCCACTGTCAGCCCCCTGCCTCTTAGAACCCCCTAGAGCTCCCCAGCACTAGCCCCACCCCTAGAGTCCCCAGTGCCTGACCCATCTCCCTCACCTAGCCCTGTGCTGCCTCCCAGCTGCCAGCTGAGCACTGCTGCCTGGGTCGCAGTTGCTCTAAGGCTGCTGTGCTGGGCTCCGCACAGACCTCCCACCACGCAGTGAAGTGCTCCCGCCCCTGCCCAGCACTGTTTGGCTGAGAAGCAGGGCAGGACACACTTCTCTCAATAGCTGCAGCAGGAGAGGAGGTGCTAGGCAGTGTATCCCAGCCCCGGCCCCCAGAAACGCTGTGGCCCGCCAGTGGGCTACAGCCTGGTGGTTGGGAACTGCTGGCATATAAGGCTTCTATTTTATAAAAATTTGGCCCAAAGTTTTTCTAGCCTCAAACAAGTTTTAATTTCAGTTTGACATTTGGCTTAAGATTTAGATTGTTTTTTCAATTATATTAACCAACTCACCCATCTTGTTGTTCAACTGATGCTATAATACCTATATTAGAATAATAGAATCATAGAATATTAGAACTGGAAGGGACCTTGAGAGATCATCAAGTCAAGTTCCCTACCCTCATGGCAGGATGAAGCACCATCTAGATCAGTGGTTCTCAACCGTGGGCCATATGGCTCCCCAGGGACCACACCCTACCTCTAGGGGGCCACATGGAAAAAACGGATCATTGGGTAAATTATGTACCTTTTTTTCCAACTAACAGCAGCTATGAGGGGGGCCACAGTGGTAAACGAGGCTCAGAAGGGGGCCATGAGCAAAAAAAGGTTGAGAAACACTGATCTAGATCATCTCTGATAGATGTCCATTCAACTTGTTCTTAAATATCTCCAGTGATGGAGATTCCACAACCTCCCTAGCCAATTTATTCCAGTGTTTAACCACCCTGACATTCCAAATCTAACTGGCTACTAGGATAACAGAGGGTTCTTTTTCAATTATTTGAGAACTTTTTTGTCTAACAAGTTTTAAGTTATGGCCAACCTGCTTCTGGTCTGTGGAATCGCTGGCTTTAGTTTCATTGTCCCTGGATGTCCATCTTGCCAGCCAGTAATCTATAGCTACTATGACGGAGTGTTTCAAGAGCTTGGAGAAAATCATAAGAAACAGTAAGAAAAATCCTCCAGAGGTAAGATATCTCCAACAGGTTTTCCAAGGCATCTTTGTTCTAAGTCGCATTACTGTTGACATATTATCATCATCCTCTTCCTCTTCTTCTTCCTCTGTGATTTAAAAACAGTTAAATTGCAATCAGCACCACACTGATGATCATTAATGTTTTGACTCAAGATGGTTGACATTTTTTGAACATTGCCATTTGGAAGTTAATTTGACATTTTGGATGAAAACAGCCACAATTTTTGACATGTTTTATAACTTTTCCTTCTTTTTTTCAACCAGCTCTACAGCTTGTCAACATTTTTTGAATTGTTTGAAAATAAACCCTGTTTATTACACCAGCTCTAGTTTGCCAATAATAATTTGCTTCAGTAAATTATATCTTCTGTATGGGATACATTCATAGAAATCAAACTCTAGGTTGGACTTCCCACACTTCGTATCTGACTGGTCTTGAACAAGGGAGTTTGCTGGACCAGAAGGCTCCCCTCTGGGTTCTGCACCCCCACTTAGCTTCGCTCTGACTAGCTCTCCTCTGTCTTTATTTCTGCACTTTGTTTGGAAAACTCCATGAAGAATCCATTAAATAGCTTTAATTCTAAATAGCTCAAACCATTTAACTTCCCACTGTTATTACCCAACTGAGTAACTGTCATCAACATCTTCATATCTCAGTTCCAAGGACATTCAGCAATGTATTAAGAATGTGAATACATGTGAATGATGCCTGCTGATAATCTACCCAGTGTGAAAAGATATACTGTACCTTCATCCTCATCCTCCAGTTGTGCTTTAGATTCTCTTGGGTACATTGCTCTTCGGAGAGTTTTTCTTTCCAAAGTAGTCTGGTCAGTTTCCATATCCTGTAACATTATATTAACATGACAGGTCAATCTACTGTTAGTACCTTATTTTAGTATAAGCAAAGTGATGCCAGGGACAGTAGAAGTTCATTTGCATCTGAGTCCACCAAAAAATCAAACTGAGGGAAGTGCAAGATCACATCAGTTTCCTGGAGCACAAGCAGCAGGAGAGAAAATGACACCTGGGGTTACATTTCAAAAGAACACATTTCAAAAATTTGCTGGACTATGAAAAAAATGAAGAGAGCCTCCTAGCTAACTATCACTGAAGGGTCAAAAGAGGACAGCACTCTTGAAATCTGTGAAAATGGATTTCTTTAGCCATATGAGTTGAAGATGCTGAGAACTGACTGTAGATGAGAAATTGCCTGAGACCAGCATGGCAATCAGTTATAGTTGAGATTCTAGAAAACATGTTTTACTTTGTTTTATTTGTAACTAATTCTCTCTCTATTACTCTTGCTTAGTATCATTTAAATCTATGTTCTTTATTAATAAACTTCAGAGGGGTAGCTGAGTTAGTATGTAACAGGATATACTTAAAAACAACGAATAGTCTAATAGCACCTTAAAGACTAACAAAACATGTAGATGTTAGCATGAGCTTTCATGGGCACAACCCACTTCTTCAGATGATAGGAGTATTAGAAGTCCAGATCCAAGAATAGAAGTATTAGAAGTCCAGAATAACAGAAGTATTAGAGGTCCAGAACCAAGAATTTTATTAATAAACTTAGGGTTAATTTAACTATAAACCACCTCAGTGCTGTGTTTTAAGGTGAAGAACGAGTCCTCAGCTGGGCTAATATGTTAGTACTTGTGTAGTGTCTCTTTGGAGACAGCGGACTTAATCATTTGGCAGAACTTTGAGGAGCATATTGATGAGGTAAATAGACAGATGTGGCAGGGAGCTAAAACAAAGCTTCAGCAAAGCCCTCTCTTGCTGCAGTAGAGAGGTAATACCTTTCTGGGCTCCAAGAAGAGCCAAAACCACCAAGTCATTGAGCTCAAAATCCTGCCATCAGGTCCACTGATGTGCAGGATTTCACCCATCAATCAACTTGAGAGAAGAATTCCATCCCAAGTCCATTAGAATGGGCTCGAATATGGATCAAGAGGAAATACATTGCCTACAATTCTCTGTTGCCCCACTCTTTGTAATTACCTTTTCTAATTCTTGGTCTTGGCGATTCATCAGAGTTTTCCAGTGCTCATACAGTTCAACATCTTTGGTCTGGATGTCTTTCAATGTCCCTTCTCTGAGCACATAACCATCCTTCATAGCTATGATCTAGAGAAAGGAGGATTCTCAATAGGTCGTCTACTCAGCAATGTGACATAATCACTGCATTTGAGACTATGCAGCAGATCTCCAGGTGAACAAGCTATAACTCACCACTTGGCTAATTTTCAGTGTTCATGTTCATTTTGCCCAATGGCTGCACATCAAAATCGTAAACAACTCTGATTTTTAAGTTATGTGTCAATTACTTGTCGTGGTTAAATGGAGGAAAAGTTCAAATAAAATGCTTTTATTCCATGCCAGTCTGTGTTGTAGACATACAAGTAGAATGTGGGGTAGGAGCTTCATGCCCACTGCAAGAACAGACGGTGGGATGGCTCTTATCATAACAATCATTATAAGCACTACAGATCTGGCTTCAACCACATTTCTCCCAGGGGACTACAGCTATTACAATATGACAAACTGGCAAGTGGTGGCTCCTCTCTTACCCAATCTGCATGTGGCAGATATTGTAATTTATGTGTCACTAGAACAAGTGTCCTTTTGTCTTCTTGGAGGAACTTCAAGATACCTTCCTGCATCAAATGATCACTTAAGTGAATGTCCAGTGCAGAGAATGGATCATCCTGCAATTGGATAAAAGAAAAGTTGTGCCAGAGGGGTATGAACCAGGGATAATTTATGTAATTCTTTTAAACATTTCACCTATTCTACAAAAGCAAACAGCTGCAATTACTAAAGTGCCATCTGTTGCACTAATGCTAATATTTACCACCTTTAGTGAAAGGGCTTAAGTGGAACACAATAAGAAAGGAAACCCCTTTACTCTTTGGCCTGTAATAAACCACTCAGATGTTCCTTTTTGGTTTTCCCTCTAAAACACCTGACACTAGCTATTGTTGGATACTGGGCTACAGGGACCTTTGATCTGACCCAGTATGGCTGTTCTTACATTCTATTTCTGAGTCATTTTGGTGCTGGTCCCAGATTGGAAGTCTTGGAAACTAGAGAGGATCTGAAACCCTCCCCTGAAATTTGGGGAAATCCAGATCCACATTCAACAGAAAGAGCCCATCTCAACAGAAGAGATACAGCAGAGTCAGTGCAAAGGCAAGCTTCCCCCAAAGCTCACTCATTAATACACAACCTGGAGATTGTACCTGTAAGGGTGAGAAGCATGTATTGTAAGGTAGTTAAGTTTCCAATCATTGGCCTCTCTCCACACACTGTGCAAGGATGACAATTGTGTTGGTAAGCTATTTTATGTGAACACTTGTTCCTCAAAGAGCTAAGATGAGTCCACCAATTTATTTTGCATAGGAATCACACAGCCATCACATTGGTGATGACTTCCAGAAACTTTTAACATGGAATGAATTGGGATTAGTGTCAGAGAAGTGAAAGGCCGTGTATCCCATTGATAAACCTTAAATCCATTTATTCCCCACTGTGACGGAGTACCTCGGCCCACACTGTAGAACAGACTGTGGGCTGGGCCCAGCTGGCTGAAAGTGTCCCTCCCCCACGGCCTTGCCGGGCATGCTCCCTGGTGAGCAGAGGTATAAGAGGCCCTGAGGCAGTTCACTCAGGGCTGACCGCCAAAGAGGAAGGACCTGCAGAGCCAGCTCTGGAGGGGGAGGAGCCAATGCAGACAGACAGCCCCAGTAGCAACCACCATCGCCGTGGCCCCAGCGAGAGCCCTGGCCCCGGAGATGGGCAGGGGGTGCGGCAGTGGAGAGACGCGCGTGGGGGGTGGTGGTGGTAGGAAGGGGCTCAGGCGGGGAACTGAAACCTCGAGTGCTCAGCGTGTTGTGGAGAGGGACCCCCCGCTGAGCAAGCACAGGCCCGAGCCATTGGCCATAGGACCCTGGGCTGGGACCCGGTGGAGTGGGAGGGCCCAGGTCCCCCTACCCCTCCCTCGGTAGGGCTCCGAAGCAGAGGTAGCCCCTGAAGCCTGTGGACTAGGCTTCAGGGCCCTACTTATCCCAACAGGGGAGCACCACAAGGATTAGGCAGCAGGGCCATATTTACCCCAAGAGAGAGGCCTACGCTAGAGACTGAGCCGCAGAGCCATATTGACCCTGATTAGGTTGGCATCACAAGGACTAGGCTGCAGGGCCATATTCACCCCAAGAGAGGAGTCTGCTTTGGAAACTGGGCCGTGGAGCTGTATTGACCCTTTTAGGGCGGGCACCACAAGGACTTGGCCTCAGGGCTGTATTTACCCCTATAGAGAGGCCCGCTGCAAAGCCCGATCCGCAGGGCCATATTGACTCCTACAGGGGGGCGTCGGAAACTCAAATGCCAGCCATTGGGCCACGAGATCCCAATAAGTGGACCCATAGGGAATTTTTACTGTGGGGAACACGCCCCGTGACATCCATGAAGGGCTAAATTGCAATACCCTGACTCTTCAAAATATCCGTTTGATTTCAGTGGAATGTGTGTAATAGAGTGCTATTCAGTGAAAGTATGGGTATGCAAGTCCTGTCCCAGTCTTTTTACATTGAACTACATAACAGATTTATTTTTCACCAGCCTCCTAATACGTTCTGCCACTGTGTCTGATCATTATGTATTTCATTTGTTCGTTTTCCCTGTTTCTGCAGTCTGGATTTAAAAATAGATATATATCTCTGTAGCAAAGCTAACTATAAGGACAACTTTTTAATTATGACATTTGCAAACTTCATATTTTTAAGAAGTCTTACCAAGAAGACCATGTTGGTATTTTGATAGAGTGCTCGAGCTACACAGATTCTCTGCCGCTGGCCTCCACTTAAGTTAATCCCCTAAAGAATACAATGGGTGATAAAAATGGATCATTTGAATAAACAAAATAATTGGTGCATGACAAGGCATTGAAAAATGCCAGTATTTTTTTAAACCACCAAATGAAATGTTTTTAGAATGTTTCAAAATGTTGGCTATTAGACTAGTCTTGTTGGCAAATAAACACAGTCAGTGTATGACCTCCTGAGAAAGAGACAGTAATTATCATTGTAATTTCATATAAGCTAATCACAAAAAACTTTAGAAGTTATAAACTTCATCTCCTGGCAGAGTAGAACTGGCTGTGGCTGTTTGTTTCAAATGATACTGACATCAAATTATGCCAGGAAACCATCGAAGATTGTGAACAAAAGAGCCTTCTGAATGCTGCAAGGAAGAACATCTCTCTCTACTCTTCCCCTCTCCCTAGTAAATTTAAAAGAATTAAAAAATAAAAATCACGATGGGACTATTCAAAAGGTTTTATAGGAAAACTGTTTTTAACCATGTTTAAGTTCACAGTATCAGTGTAAGAGGTTGGAAGTAAAACTGACTAATGTCAGTGGCACAGATCTTGACTTTTTTTCTGTGCTACTGAGTACAATGTAGACATAGGACTTCATTCTTATTTATACTATGGTCCACTTTGCCTTATTCTAGCAGTGCAGAGGGGCTTGGGTTGTGAATAAATTACATTTGCATCCCCTTAAAAGTCCCTTAAAAGAGTGAGGTAGAGTGGCCACAGCATAAATGAGAATCAAGCCGACAGCGTAAAATGAGCACAGTGGAGTTATATCAGGCGTGAATCCTTCCCCGTGATTTTTTTTTTGAGTCTGCACAATATAAGACTCCCAAATGACTTCATTTTCCATGATGTATCGCAAAAAGAATGCAGGGGCTCCACAGCACTTACTAAAAGAATAAACACACAGGGCCAGATTCGGAGCTAAGCAGCTAACAGAGTTACTCAGATTTATACCTGGGTACCTAAGATTTAATTCTAGGCTAAGATGCCTTAGGGAGCACACGGTACTGCTGACAAACATCAGAGTAGCTAGAATTCTTAGATCGCTAGCTATTATCAATATCTATGATGATGTTTAAGTTAATATAGAATTATAATAAATCTTAATAAAATACGACTATTACTAATGTTTACCAGGCTTGCAGCTCAGTGCAATCTAGAAATGTGATATCCATCACACAAACCAGGCTGTCATAAAAACTTCCATCTCTTTATTTACCCTTTCTCCAATTTCTGTCTGATCGCCAAATGGTAATAGATCAATGTCTGGCTGCAAAGAGCATGCATCCGTAACAGCTTTATATCTGCAAAGGGAAAAACAAAGATTATTATTATTATGGAAAGGCAACCAGAATGGATAGAACAAAAACCTCCTCCTAAAACTCAGACTTAATCTACTGGCAAAGTTCAAAAGTGTTTAGCTAATTTTAAAAGGGATTCAAGTGATGCTTTTACAAAAAGCCATTTTTATTAGTGACTTCAATAAAGTAAGGCTAATTTACACCAGCTGAGAAACCGGTCTCTGAATCTGATGATGCCTATATGTGTTTTGTGAGATCTGTCCCTCGCTAATTGCTATCAAGTGAACTGAATGGCATATTCTAGGGTATGTCTACACTGCACACTTATTTCAAAATAAGCTATTCTGAAAGAAATATTGTGAAATAGCTTATTTCAAAATAGCACGTCTACACTACAGGGAAGCCTCAAAATTAGTCTGAAGCAGGCTTCCCTAATGTGGATATACTAACTCAATTTAGAGCCCCAGGAACACTGGGGAGTAATTAGTTTGAATGGCCCTGAGGAGGAGCTATTTCGAAATAGCAGCAGTGGAGTGTCCATACTACAGCTATTTCGAAATAGCTATTTCGGAATAGGCATTATTTCTTGTGGAATGAGGTTTATAGAAGTTGGAATAAGCCATCTGTTATTTCAAATTTATTTCAAAATAACAGTATTGCTGTGTAGATGCTCGCATTGTTATTTCAAATTAACGTCAGTTATTTCAAAGTAACTGTGAAGGTAGACGCACCCTATAGGAAAGCATACGCTGAAAGGAATATCATTGATTTTAATAATTTAAAGCAACATATATGTTGCCAGTATAAATACCTAAACATTAGCAATTTGTTTTCCTAAAATCAAGTCACTTTTCCCATTGCATTTTTTGTCTGACTATTTAAATTAACACAAAGTAAGAGCTGGTAAGAGTAGTAAGAACCAGGCACAACAGAGCTCTGTTTTGACTTTCAGTGCCTCTATTTTCAGTGAGGCACTAATTATCACTGGCTCGAGGTAGGCACACTGCAGCTAGGCCTGTCTTCAGCACAGTAATATGAAATTGTTTGATGTTTTGTAATGTGATGCTCTGCTCTTCTCTAGACTAGGATTGGATTAAGGTCAGGATGCAAAAGGGCCATGCTTAGGTCCCCTGCTCCAGAGTCAAATGATAACATCAGAACTTCAACCTAATTTTAAAAATAGAAAACGCATTTCTAGCCTGCCATGGTTGCCAAGAAAAGCCAGCTCTAATTGCAACCTATTTAGATTCTGATTTATGTGTCTAAGGCTTGGGCTATGTTACAGATTTATGTCAGTATAACTGCATCACTCAGAGGAATGGGAAATCCACATCCTGAGCTACACAGCTATGCTCACCTAGCTCCAGGTGTAGACAAGTGCTAAGTCAATGGGAAGACTTCTTCTACTGATATAGCCACCACCCTTTAGGGAGGTGAAACATCTCTGAAGACTGAAGAAATTCTCCCACTATCTTCACAAAGCACTATAGCAGTACAGCTGCATCATTGGGGCTCTGCCACAGCAGTGCTTTATGGCTACGTCTACACTGTAGGTTTTTTGTGAAAGAACAGCCATTCTTGTGCAAAAACTTGCTGAGTGTCTACACTGCACGTGCGTTCTTGCTCAAGTATATTTACAGTAAAGCGTTGGAAAAGAGGACTTCTTGCATAAGAGTTATTCCTCTTCCCACGGGGAATAAGCCTTCTTGCGCAAGAGCTCTTGCTCAAGAAGGCAGTGTGGACGGGCAACAGGGGTTTCTTGTGCAAAAACTCCTATGGCTATCCAAGCTTTCTTGTGCAAGAAAGAGTCCACACTGCCATGGACGCTCTTGTGCAAAAGCACATCTATTGTGCCAAAGCACATGGCAGTGTGGACGCGCTCTTGAACTAGAATTTTTGTGCAGAAACTCTTGTGCAAAACAGTTCTCATGCAAGAAGCCTGCAGTGTATGTAGCCTATGTGTAGACAAGCATCCATGTTGGGTGTGCCTCAAGACTGACTTAATCTGGACCTGCATATGCAGAACATTAACATACTTTTGCTTGGGACTCGGGTGAATAAACAGCAGCTTCTCTGAAGCTGGAACTCTCTATACCTAACAGCCCAACTTTTATCCACTAGTCCACATTTTATCCACTGGTCCACAAAGGCATGTTGTAGCTTGCATGCTCCCACTGCGTAATGAAGAGGAGATCCAGGCGAGATTGTGCCTCCATTGCTCCTCAGAGAGGCAGGAGGCACAATCTCGCCTGGATCTCCTCTTCATTACGCAGTGGGAGCATGCAAGCTACAACATGCCTTTGGCCAGCCAATTCCAGAAGAATGTAAAAAGAGAGCACTGCTGCCATCCTCAGAGTAGGAGCTGCCCATTCTTCCTAGCCCTTACAAGAGGTGACCTCCCTGCTTTGCAAGACCCAGGACCAACTGTATATAATAATGGGCTCAGAAGCTGAGAGCTACCTATTTTTCTTCCCCACCCACTCTATAATTCTTCCTAGCCCAGCACCCCAGTAGTGGTCCACCCCTGGGAGTGAAAATGTTAGTAATTGTCCCAGTTGGCCTCTCCATAAAGTCCTTTCAGTGAGTTTAGGGTTTTTTAAACTCTTCCTCCACCTCTTTGCTCCCCTCCTCATCTGGCAGAGTGGGAATCAAGCCCTTAAGTTTCCTAACACCCAGGAATGTACTAATTACCTTTGTTTGTTAAAAGGACTCCCAAAGATAATGTTTTCCTCCACGGTAGCATTCAACAGCCATGGCTTCTGTGCCGCATAAGCCACTGAATACCTGTTTCTACTGGAAAAATTAAAACACCAGCAATAAAATAGAATATCTTGAAGTTTCTTATGAATAGAGTTAACAATATGCATTAGGAAAAAAACAAAGCCAAAGTTAAGGTACAATACAAGAAACTGTAACTAAAGAAAAAGCAGAAGTTTTAAAGGAAGAGGTTACACTAGAGAAGCATCCACTCACTGTTCTGAAGTTAAAGGTCTGTGTTCTGGTTTGTGCTACTGTAGACACTGCTGTAAATGTCTCGTTACTGAGCCAGAGATGATATAAGAAATTTAAGCCCAATAGCAAATTACAAATGTCTAAAACCACCATTCCATCCATTGTTATGAGTAGAAATTAAAAGAATAGTAAAAGTACCAGGGCAGGTTAGGAAACAGTTAAAAAACAAATAGTCCTGCAGCACCTTAGGCTGTGTCCAGACTCAGGGGTTTTTTCGGGAAAAGTAGCCTTTTTCCAAAAAAACTTCCCCTGCGTCCAGACTCAAGACGCGTTCTTTCGAAATTAAATCGAAAGAACGCGGCTTTTCTTTTGATGGCGGTAAACCTCATTTCACGAGGAAGAACGCCTTCTTTCGAAAGTTCCTCTTTCGAAAGAAGGCGTTCTTCAATGTAAATAGGGCTTCTTCGAAACAGAGCATCCAGACTCACTGGATGCTTTCTTTCGAAAAAGCAAGCCGCTTTTTCGAAAGTTCAACGTGCAGTCTAGACGCTCTCTTTCGAAAGAGGCTCTTTCGAAAGTATCTTTCGAAAGAACCTCTTTCGAAAGAGGCTTGCAGTCTAGACATAGCCTTAGAGACTAACAAAAATGTAGATAGTATCATGAGCTTTCATGGGCACACTAATATCAAAACCAGCAACTTAGAAAGTAGTGTGCAAAATGGATGTTATCAGCCCATTTGCCTCATTGTCTTTTAGTGAGTTTGTTATTTTAAACTACTGTGTGTTTGGGATACAATTATTCAACAGATGCTATTTTTCTAATAGGTAGGTTTGAGTTAACATTACAATGGATTGACATGAAACACTGACGCAGAACAAATCTGTATTCATTCCGAAGGAATTTCTATGGTCTATACAGTAAGTATAATGCATGCCTTAAAATGTGCCTCAACATAGTGATATTTACAAAGCAGATTTGTGACTGCTTTGCCCTTTACTCTCACTGTTTTGTTTATGTATTCTGGCAGATAAGTTCATGTGACATCAGCCACCTATTCTGCAATAGTGAGGCAAGTAGATGTGAACTGGGTGATGAATCGGGTGTGAAATGAGTCAATCTTAATTATTATTGTCCCCATGTATATTGTTTCAGATTGTACCCTTACCATTAATTTAATGTAGGCATCTGTTGTCTCCTATAGAGAGGGTGCTATAGTGTTGAAAATATTGGTTAGAAGCATTCACCATCATCCTATACCTTCTAGAAGACCCAGAAATCAATTCACCATGTTAATATTTCTCCTTACATTATCAGGTATCAGATAACACAGTGGTTCCCAATCACAAGTATGGGAGCACCTACTGCTATAGTACTTGTGCTGTTTTTGCTAGGTAT